AAAAATAATTAATCAAATCGGTTGAGAAATGAAGGCTCTAGTGAATTATGAACATTAAATCCCATTTATTGACCACTGTGCAATGGTGGTCAAAGGTTTTTAAAGCTTAGAAAAGCGACTATTTTTAGGCCTTAATCAAACTACGCACTATTCATGGTAGTGAAATTCCAATACGATTTTTCTCTATCTCATCATTATGTACTGGGAACTGTGGGAATCGATGACTTACCCTGAAATAGAGATGGGCACGGGACTGAATATTTAATCCCGATCCCGCCCATCCCAAAATTCAATTTCTAAGTCCCGAACCCGCCCATCGCGACGTTTTTCCGAATTGTACCGCGGGTTCTGTGGGTACCGAAATCTATCACTAAGAAACGTTCACATGTCTTTCAAATTAATTTTAAATAATAAAAAAAAGAATATGAATGAACCGGCATCTTCCGATTATTTTGTTTTGCTTTGCTGTTCGTTTTCGTCTCAGTGCATATTTCATACATGCGGAGGTTGTGGTTCTATCGGGAATGTCGGAAAAGGATTTTGGTCCCACCCCGCCCGCAAAATTTTTATAGACCTTCCCGATACCGTCCATCCCGGCCAATTTTAAATCAGTTCCGTGGGTCCCGCGGTTCCCGATATCCCGCGCCCATTTCTACTCTGAAATCAGGTGCACTAATGTCCTCAGCGTCGCACAGTGTAAGATTTGGCTAATTTGCTGCTTTTAATTCTGTAATTCGAAAACTATTGAAGATAGATTAATGAAATTTTGCACAAGGTACGGTACAAGATAGGCGAAGCTTTTTACAAAAAATTTGTCATTTAGAGGGACTGTCTCGCCAACCTATTATATAATTGTAATTTTTAAAAAGGCAAAAGCTGAAATATTGAACTAACTATGAAAGCTAAAATGCTCAAAATTTATATTTGAATTTCCTTATCGCAAGGAATTATAAACTGTCAGAAATGAACATCAAAAATATATTTTTTTTTTAAATATGGGTGTGGCAAATATCGATAAAAAAGTCAAGGTGGGTCTACAATATTCCGTTATAAGTTCAATATTTCGTGCTCTATTTACAAGAATGAGGTACCATTAGAAGGGTAATGAATCAGGCTTTCTCTATTTAAAAGCAATAATACAAAAATTTGTCTGGGTCGAGATCAAATGCAAATGAATTACTCGAACATAATAAAATTCCTAGAAGGCTTGAAGAAATTGAATTTCATCAACACCAGCACTTTCCAGAAGCTAAAGTTGTGGTGTTTAAAGTCTAAGAGAAGTGGCAAATAGACTGAGATACAAACTTTATCGAATAATCGCGGATAACGAGTTTGCCTGTCTAATGAAATAAATAAATTACCAAAATTAAATTTAAGTTAACATCGTCTTACTTTAACATAAAATACTTAGTCCTATTTCACTGAAATCCCAAAAATGTATATTCATTAAAAATAGCATATCTAAGAAAATAAGACCAAAATTGTATTTTAAAAATTATTGCATAATTCACAAAACACCAACAACTTAAACATTGAAATTCAGTTTCAAATATACAAGTTTAATCTTCCAAATCAAATCTCGTCCCGCCATACACTTTGATGTAAATTTTCTTGTTGTTCTTGTCTCGTCTCTACCAGGCATTTCTAAAAGCATTTTTGACGTTGTTTTGAAATTTAGCGATACAAAAAATTATTGAAGTAATATTTTCTAGAAAATGGAAATAATACACTGTGCGTCGGAGCGTCATAGTTTTTTCGCTAGTTGATAATCGTCAGGTGAATTTTTGGCTATCACTTTAGTTTATGCAAATTCGGCAGTCGGAGGAGGCAGAATTTTTCGGCTTAAAATAGTTCGTTATTTTTAACCGACTTCCAAAAAAGGAGGAGGTTATCAGTTCGTCGGAATATTTTTGTTTTTTTTATATGTGTTACCGCATAACTTTGGACCGCGTCAACCGATTTCGATTTTCTCCCAAATAGGTAAATTAAGTTTATCTCAAAATATGAATCAGTAACACCGCGTTCACGTTGAAACTCTAAATGATACCGAACATGCAAAATGTTGAAGGAGGCAATTTGAGTCCAGTTATTTTTAACCGACTTCCAAAAAAGGAGGAGGTTATCAGTTCGTCGGAATATTTTTTTTTTTTTTATGTATGTTACCGCATAACTTTGGACCACGTCAACCGATTTCGATAATTCTTTTTGCATCGGAAAGGTAGTGTCTCAGAGGTGGATCATGAGATATATATATATATATATTTTATATGGGAGTTGATTGAAGTCGTTTTTTTTTTGCTAAAAATTACTTGTTACCCTTTCGAAAGCTTCGAAAGCCTTAGAATTCAAATCAAAGATACCTGCCCCTCGAAATCAACAAAGAATTAAAAATTTCGCCTGCTTTCTCATGTTTTTATATATGTTCTGCGGAAGTAAAATTTCTCCGATTATTCATCTTTAATTCATAGGATACAGAAAAATTAAACAATTTGGCAGCACGTTGTCCCCGAACTGATTGCGAAATTAGTGGTCATTGGTAGGGTTCCTCTGAGCTTCACGAAGGGCTTGTAACGAAAGATGCCTAAAGCGCGAAAAGCACTGCAATCAATCGAAAGTAGGATATTTTAAATACGCGAAGGTATTATCGTTGTCCAAATCAAAGGAGAATATTTGTTGGACCATTTGTTGCGTTAATTTTCTAGAGCACGTGATTGTTTGTACATACATACATATCGTCACCTGAAATGCAAAATGACGTAACAAACATCGTCGCTGAAATTCAAAAAGTCGTAAAGCAGAATATACACAAGCAGACTTGTCTGTACTACATGTCAAGTATGGCATACCGTCGCATCGTGTATAGGCAGGTGTGCACACCAAATTCTAGGTCTGCATACATGTATGAAGAAAATTTAAATTTTTCAATTTTTCTCCTCGTTGTTGCGACAGGTATGAACGTTTATAGTAAAGAATGCAGACAGAACCTCATACTTGAATAGATTTTTATGCGGAAGTTTGTGTGAGCACCATGACTATAATTGATAACGAGTTTTGGCGCGATTTTATTGAAGCCTTTAGGGGCGAATAAGTGTTATGGGAGATGAAACACGACAATTACAAAAATAAATTAAAGCGTGTCCAAAGTTGGGCAATACTTTTACAAAAATATAAGGAATTAGATCCACATGCCACGATTGACATCGTAAAAAAAACGCGTTAATGGCATGCGGAACTTCTATAGACGGGAACTTTCAAAAACAAAAAAATCGACGAGGTCTGGTGCTGGCGGAGATGACATCTACGAGCCAACGCTTTGGTATTTTTACCAATAAGACTTTGACGTGACCAGGAAACACAAGCACCGGTTATTAGTACATTGGAGGAGAATGATTTTGATAATGAGGTGTGTAATATTTAATCGAGTAAACAAACACATAGATTATGATAATAATAAGTATAGAAGGAAAACAATGGAGATATAGACAAAGACAACGACGCAGTTAAAGGCAACGTAACGCAACGCTCAATACCAGTGACTTTTCATTATTTTAATTTTAATTGTTATTAATTTTATAATTAAATAAACGTTTATTAATAAACTAGCTTATTGCCGCAGGGTTTCACCCCACGTTATACAAACAGTTCTTTTGTGTTCTTCACAGTACATTTTGTATGTGCCGAAGCTGGTTCATTGGCCTTATAAAACCATAATGAAGCAAATTTTTCAATATGTAGGGTCATCGTCTGGGGGAACGTACTAGACAAGAAGGCCCCCAGGGTTAAGCAGCTGGAATCTGCATGGCCGGTTAGCTGGCAAGACAGGGAACCCTTGAGGAAGTGGTGGGTGCTCCCCTGACTTCTTGTGGTCTATTTGTGGATAGATTACCTGAATGTATTCGTCCAATGTTTTTATTATGGCTTCACAAGTTTCTAATACAATACGACTTAAACTGTGTGGAGATATTGCTGTTAAAAATTTTAAATCTTCGAAGCTTTCGCCGGATGACAAAAATCTAAGAGTAGCCGAAAGCCGTTCATGGGGCGTAATTGCATTTCTCATGAAAGTATCTCTTTTTTTTATTAAAGGCTTCACCATCAACAGGAGTTCTTGATAGTTTGCATTGTTCATGCGAACAAAATTTTTAAATTTTTTATAGATTTTGTTTCCAATTCCTTAAGGAGTGGTACGTGTGAATATTTTGCGCGTTGTTTATAAAAATTTTCGCACCAAAAGCGTTGTTTTGGCCTTTTTTCCTTCTTTTTCTTATCATTTTCAGCGCACACAGAAATTACAAGCAGGGCTATAATTTGATTTTTTGTTGTCATGACGTTCACTCACTTCAACGATTTCAACGAAATGATGTTTGAACAACGTGTCGCATAGGTGTATACTGAACTGACATGCGACCAAGTATGCATACAAGTCTGATTGTGTATATTCTGCTTAACTAACAAAAAATTCAAAATTCAGTTTTTGAATGATATGATGGATTTCATCGAATTACAACTGCCACATAATTTAATGAAAAAAATTAAAAATTCAGTTACGATGTTGTTACGTCTTTTTGCATTTCGGGTGACGATATGTAGATATGTACAATATTTTGTAATCAGTACACACGAAGTAGTGAAGGAGTGCGTCTTTATAGTGAGTTGTAAGAATATACCCACAATCTGGATACTTTTTCCAGATCGTCCCTATATATGATTTAGAAATTCAATAATAATTATTTTTCCAAAAAAGATCTGCATACGGGACATTTCATTATAGAAATGGTTTCATATTCAAAACTTATAAGAGAACTATGGTTTCACCAAGCATAAGCAAAACTTTTCTGATGTAATCTCCATCATTAACCTTGTTCTTTATTTTTAGAGTAAATGTATTAGTTTTCCAACAATATACGATTTATACTTGAGTTACCCTAGTAGGTCGAGTTCTGTATTATACTTATATACATACATAATGTCTTAACAACTAAATTGGCAAAAATACTTACCTCTTCATAATATCTCACAGCAGTTAACGGTAAACTAAATGAGCAAAATAATAGATCAGACACGCTCAGTGACAAAATAAATGCAGTAGTTGCATGTCCCCGTATTTTAGGGCATTTCAGTAATGCAATAATCGTAATTAGGTTTCCTGAAATAAACAAATAAAATGGGATAAATGTAACATAAATTATCAATACCAGTGGGAAAATAAAGATTTTGTAAAAGAGCAACATAAACTTAATTTTTGTTCGGTACGGCCAATTTTTGAGATTTGGCCGACTTAAATAATTTTTACGTTACACTAATTAGGGATGAAACGATACTCGATAGTTTTCGTTCGATACCAAGTAATTTTGGCATCGATACTGTTGAACTAAGTACTGAGTAGGTATCGAAAAATAGGTACTCCTATCGAAATCCGATACCAAGTAAAATTTTTCTGCGAAATTTTTTTCTCTACGTTTATGCCTTATATGATCGCCTTGTCCTTTTTGGCAACTTAATTGCCAGCAAAAACCGCGAGAAGGCGCCAGAGTCGACATAATGCAAAGTATACACGATCCAATTGCTTCAACAAAGTCGAGAGTTTGCAACGTTTACACGGCCAATTGCTCGAGTGGAAGTGTGAAGTTGATGAATGTTCAGCACAGACGTTTTAACGCGATATAAAAGTCACTGAGTAACTCTATTATTCTTCGCGCTGTAAATATTAGCGGGCAATACTAAAGGTAGGGGCAAATAGCCTTGTTATTGAAGAAAAGAAATAAAGAAAAAGAGTTGATTCAAACTAAAAAAAAAAAATTTAGAAAACACTAAAGTATTCAACATATCCCAAGCCCAGAAAATTTAAACGCTATCTTCGATTCTAGTCTGTAGAGAATGTATATATATATTAGACAGAGTGGGTAAATGCAATTACATTACAATTACAATTACATTCCTCAGTAATTGTAATTAGGATTCAATTCCTTCAGTTCACAGTAAAGGAATCGATTACTTTCTCAATTCCTGGAAGTAATTTCAAATGGAATGTTTTTTTTCTTTAATTCCATTACAAGGAATTTCATATTGTAATTGGAATAAATTACTTGCTAGTAATGTAATTTTTTAAGGTATTGAAAATGTAATTGATTTTTTTTAAATTCCAATGCAATAGCTTTGTTAAATTTCTTGGTTGCTAACTGCCTTGAATAAATAANAAAATTCCAATGCAATAGCTTTGTTAAATTTCTTAGTTGCTAACTGCCTTGAATAAATAACTTATACCTGAGTAGTATTACTAATTGGACTTTAAGAAAACTGAATAACTTAAACTGTAGCTGTTCAGTTTATAGGGTAACGGTTAAATTTTCCAAATCCTACCGCGAACGCGCTTCGCGGCAGATGAGACCCATAAATGTTGAAGCAGGCGTAACCCGCCCGGACTGTTGCTGCCTTGGGTACTGCTGTTCTCTTGAACTAATCCCTGCGTATCTATAAAAATGCACTGACTTAATTGTGTACATTATGGTACCCTTAATTCTACCCAAAATGGCTAGAGTCCGCTTGAATTACGAGCCCTGTCGGACTGGAGATCCTACCTCCTAAGAGTTTTATAAACAAATTGCATTGCTATGGCTAAATTTTGATGATAACACTGTAACGACGCTAAAATTACACAAAAAACGCCGATACACGTAAAATTAATTTTAAGTAGTATGTTGATCTGTATACCGTTTTTTTTAGATAAGGTCATTTAGTCAAGTTATTTTCATTTTAAGTTTGCATTGCGAATGAAAAAAATTCAAACTTTAACATAAAAAAAAATTAAACTATCATGATTAAAAATATTTTTCCCGAGTGATCAACAAAAATTCAAAATATATTGTACATTTACACTGAAAGGTTGTAAGTGTCTTGTACAAACGTCCGCAAAGGTTGCAGTTGAACAGGCAATTAGGGTGGTTTTTGCCGTGGTTTTTGAAGAGCTTGAGCGCTGTTGTTGCAGTAAAGGGTAGGTTTTTGATTTCTTAATCTACTGAAGGCAGAACAACCGGGAAGGTTTATTAAACGTGTCATTTGTATTTTATATTGTAGTTGTATCGGAAATTTTTCAAAATTTTTTTATATAATTCTCTTATGGAGAAAATTTAAAATTTTTTAATGCAACTCTTAACTAAAGATACTTAAAAAAATATAAAATATTCTTTATTTTATCAATTTAACTGAGTTAAAATATTCAAATAGGTGGCAACCCTCCCCAAAAGCATTTTTGAAAGTCTTCTTTTTTAAACCTCTTTCACTTGATACCTAGATCAATTAAGTTGAGTTAAATTTTCACACAGGTGGCAACCTTCCTCCAACATATTTTCGGCAGTAAGCCTTCTTAAAACTCTTAAGTTTGATTCCAAAAATGCATTATTTCATTTATTTTATCAAAATAACCGAGTTTAAATTTTTAAAGAGGTGGCAATTTTACTCAAAACTATTTCCAGAAGTTATCTTTCTTAAACCTTTTTAATTTAATATCTATATTGTAATATATCATTTAGTTTATCAATTAAATTGCGCTAAATTTTTTAACAGGTGGCAACCCTCTTTAACAATTTAACTGAGTTACAATTTCCAAATAGGTGGCAGCCCCCTCAAAAATTTTTCCAACAGTTATCTTTCTTAAACCTCTTTAATTTGATACCCATATTGTAATATTTTATTTATTTTATCAATGTAACTTAGTTAAATTTTCAAACACATTGCAACCCCCCTCAAACATATTTTCGGCAGTAAGCCTTCTTAAAGCTCTTTAGTTTGACACCCACATGGCAATATTTTATTTATTTTATCAATTTGACTGAGTTAAAATTTTCAAATAGGTGGCAACCCTCGTCAAAAATACCTCCAACAGTTATCTTTCTTAAACCTCTTTAACTTGATACCCATATTGTAATAATTCATTTATTTGATCAATATAATTGGGTTAAAAATTTTCAAATAGGTGGCAGTCCTCCAATTTTTTGCGATATCAAAAACTTAAATAAGATTAATTTGTTATCTTTCCAATGTATATGTATGTGTGTAAATACCATCATTAAACATATAGTTCTGCTATGTAACGGAGTTTTATTTGTTTTCAGTTCCTATATTATTAAATTATATTATTCGGAGTTTAGGATTTCCACAGGATGATTAACTTGTGATTTTAAAAAATAAATTTAACTTAATACGGAATACACAATGAGTACCGATGCGAGTAGGTATCGATAATTTAGGTCCGACATTTTTCAGGCATCGATAGTTTTTTTCGATACTACTTCCAAGTAAAAGTATCGATACCTGTATGGTATCGTTTCATCCCTAACACTAATATATTTATTTGTGCTACAAAGGTCTTACATACATTTGTAGGTTTTTTTTTTTAATAAAACTTTAATTAAAAATATCTTAAATTTAAGTGTAAAGCATTATGCAAATACTTAGAATATTACGCATCGCTTAACCGTTTGCTTATCACGCGTTAGTGTTAGAACATTTATTGAAGCATTCAATAGACTTCTAAATATCGGCACCTCAGAAAACGGATGTCGAATGTTACAAAGAGTGTCGCCATTTTGGTACTTTTGAAACTCGATTTAGCCTTTAATTTTTCCATTTAGCTCTGAAACTTGCGTTCTAGCTCGTAGCTCTTTTTTTAGCTCTTTTCAAAAGTTTCCAGCACTTTTTTAGCTCCAGAAAGTTTTAGTTGTATTCGGTAATATATTAAAATTATAAATTTGTAATTTCATTCTACAAGTGCTGACTAAAATTTATTTGGTTTTGGTGATATGACATATCTTTATGTTATTCTATTTCGATGAATGCGTAGAAAAGTTCCATATCAAACTATACCGGCCAGTAATTCGAGCTCCGATAGCTCATATGGTGTATATGCTCTGTCAGGCGGCCAAGGTAGAAAAGGAAAACCAAAATCTATGCGTTGATAAAATTACAAATTTCGAAATGCGGTGGAAAAATATACACATATTTATATCCACGGTTCGAGGTTAAAGAATTAAAAAAAAATATATACAAAACTTAAAAGGAAATAAAACTTTTTGAAAAAATTTCGCGAAAATATAGTTCCTAACCCGAATTTTCATGGTCAATTCAAATAGCTGAAATTGCTGATTTCAACAGTTCTGGTATAGTTTATACAGTGACGAGCAAACCTGTAACATGGTGTTACACTTTTCATACTTTGGTTGTATATCCTTTTTGGTACACCCCTACTCCCTCTCTCATATCGATTTGAAGTCAATCCAACAACAATAAAAAAACTTGCAGAGAAAAATGTAAATTAAGGCAAATGCTATAGTTTTTCACTCACTCTAAGTTTTGCATTTTACAGTTGTCTTTTACTTTTGGAAATCAGATGACTTTTCTGTATTGTAATTTATTCAAGAAGTGATCACCAGTAAATTATATGGTTAATCAGGAAAAATAAATGTAAATAATAGATTTACTGCGGAAAGGCGGGACCGCAGGAAAAGTGGCAAAATATTGTGGAGCTTGCTGCATGAAGATCTTAAGACTGAAAAAAAATATAGCCTAAACTGTTACTAACGACGAAGGAAGTCAGTCAAAGGCGAAGAATTGCCAAATTGCGCGCAAAGGCAGCATAAAGGAAGAAAAAAAAACAATTTTGATCAAAAAACATGTGCGAGAGTGTTAGCATTTTGCTGCATCGCACGAAAACCGGACCATTGCCTATTGGGATTTGTTAGGCCTCACAGAATGTAATAAAAAGTACATTTTTAAGATCTAATTGAAGGTTATTTGGTCTGACAAGACTAAAATAATCGCTTTCAATCAGATGGCCCGACATGGAATTGGATCAAAGATCCAAATTAAGCCTAAGCGTATCATGTAAGCAGTGTTGCCATTTTAGGTTTTCCGGCTAGATTTAGCCGGTTGCGATAGAAAACAGCCGGAGAAATTTCGGTTTAGCCGGAAGCCGTTTTGTAAAAAAATTAGCCGTTTCTAGCCGATTTTGCTATTTACCTTGCTTTATTAAAATTCAAATATATGTTTCCATTTTTGACTAAGCGATCCAAAATCTGTTGGAAAAGCCTTATCGGGAATAAAATTTTCATGACAGGCAGGGTTATATAAAATTGGGCCGATTTCACTTAT